ATCTGCCACTCCGAATTGTCTGTGTTCAACAAGTCAAGTGAGGTTTTAAATTCTAGGACAAGTCTAAAGTAACTTATCGTTTCACCCTTTTATTTGTTATGGCATTTGTGTGTACTTGTTGTGAGCACCGCCGCGATTGTGCATCATCCACCAGCTTAGCACACTTCCCAGCCCCTAAAAAATTGCCGCCCAACAGAAAGGTCAAAGACTGGAATACTTTGTTGGACTGCCTTTAGCTTTGATTATGTTGCACATTTGCCATGACATTGTTTGGATTAGCTTCTACAATGTCACAAGATTTCAATTCAGTATATTTATGTATGTTATCACCCTCACCCCTCCCTACCCTTGTGTATTCATTTTTCTTTCACTTAACGTTTTCACGTACTTGGTATGTGGCTGGCCACTTTTCTGTTAGTTTTCTAGCTTTTGTCTCATTAGTTTTAGTTTGTCTCCTTACACCTTTAGCTTAATAAATGTTTTCACACACTTGGTAATTCCTGGCTGGCTTGATATTTAATTGATATTCTGTTAATCTTCCAGTTTTAGTCCAGTGTTGTTGTTGAGGTTCATTTTACCCGTTTCACTGCTTTAGTTTTGGTCTGCCTCAATATTCCTAATTTTAGTAATTCTCTGCAACTCTAATACTTTGGCAGTTCATTGTAAAGTCTAGGTTAGCTCTCTTACCCCAAAGCATTGAAATTCTGTTAGTTTTCAACAATGTTTTTCTGTAGTTCATTGTAGCAGTTTGTATTGCTTTAGTTATAGTCATCTAACACTTAGTAAATCCTGGTTAGCCATTTTAGCTACTCAAAGTCTCTAGACACCTTCAGTTAAATAATTTTTTTCACCTACTTAGTAATTCCTGGCTGACCACATTTAGTTCTCTTAATCTTTTATTGATCTTATGTTAGTCTTTTAGTTTTAGTATATGTAACTCCATTGTTCATTTCTGTGTTTATTCTGTTTTTACTGCTGTAAAGCATGAGTTGCAGTTGTCTAGGAAATGTGCTATATAAATAAAACGTCTTGTCTTGCCTAGAGCGCCAAGTCACAATGAGTCATCTCAAAGCAAAACGCAAAGTAAACATTCCAATACAGTTCAGTTTATTAAGCCATTCAGTAAAATGTTTCCTATATAATGAACCCAGCAGGTTGCATCGAGTCACTGTGTCAGTCTTTACAGCAATCCTCAAACTAAGCAAGCATGTAGCGACTGTGGAGAGGAAAACTCCCTTTTAACAGGAAGAAACCTCCAGAGGATCCTGGCTCAATATAAGCAGCCATCCACCACGACTCACTGGGGATCGAGAAGACAGAGTATACACACACACACACACACACACACACACACACACACACACACACACACACAGTGCACACCGCAAAGCAAGATGCAAAATCAGAGTCAGTCTCCAAAGCAAGACGGCTAGGCCACTTTTTTAATAATTGAGATATTTCCCCCCGCCTGCTTGTAGATGCGCTCATGACATCACAGGCTACAGACACCCATGTGCTCAATCTTGTCTACATTCCTAAGGCAGGATGGAACGAACGCGGCCAGGCTGGGGCGAGCGTGGAGTGAAGCTGATGCTAATGTGTAAATGGCAATAGAGACATTGGAGTAAACTGGCCTCTCAGCATGTGTCTCATTTAATATTAGGGCCCGACCGATATGCTTTTTTTGGGGCCGATACCGATATAAAACTTTTAACAATGGCCGATAGCCGATATAATGGCCGATAAATCTCCCTCACAAAAAAATAAATACAAATGTTCTTAAGATTAAACCCTTCATTCTCTGCCTTTTTGATGCAAACTTATTTCTCTATTACACACCAAAGAACTGTCTCAATAACTCACTAGGGTTTCCAAGTAATGCAAATAAGATTTATTTTGCAATCTCAAAAACAACAGAACACACAAACTACTACTGAAGATGAGCAGATGCTGCAGATGACATCACCAGATGGATCTTTAATGAAGTAGTCCCACACCTCACTACGACCCTCTTTTTCCATCTGTAATAAAATAATCAGCATAGAAGTACAGTTATATATCTGTTGATACTAAGACAAAGTAAAATACATTAAATGTGGCATTTTTATACTTAAAAGTTTAAAAATTCTCATGTAAATAAATGATATCAGACATTGTGGCTCAAAACCAATGGCTCTGTTTTTGTTTGGTTCCCCAGCTGTTAAGGTTTTCTCATTTAGTATTCGTCTTCTGTTTGTTGTCAGGTTTTTTTTCTAGTTATTCTTCTTTCCCTTTTAGGATTCTTTCTTCTTTAAAATTATTTTCATTTATAGTTCCTTCTATGTTCCCCTGCTGTCCTCTGCTCCCACTCACAGCTCCTCCTCATAACTAGTCCTCTGTCATCTCTCACTCCTCAGTGCATACGGTTCAGTTTCGGTCATACTCTGCTGGTTTCAGCGTCCTAGCTACCTGATTTTTGGCATTAAAATACTTTTGAGTTTTACACTTTTGTGTTTCGATCCTTTCCAAAGCCGACAGTATTAGGAAAATAAAAATAAGATACGTTAGATTAGGATGTGTATAAGTATAAGCCTTATGTAAAATATAAGGCTGAAAAATACAATAGATTTATTCTATTGCAGAGGGATGTTTATTTTCTCGTATTACCGCCCCCCCTCCTCTCCCAGCTAGGGAGAGGAGGGGGGGCTCCCTGCACCGCGTTTCATAGCTTTGTTGCCAACCCCCCCTCGCCCGTCCTCAGCTGCGACAACGGTCGTGTGCCGCCGAAGCGCCGCTAAACGGGGACTCTTTCATTCGTCGCCCTTGTTATCCCATTCTATAGGCCACATGGGCCGCCGAAGCGCTGCACGCTCCGCCCGCACCGTGCAGCGAGTTTCGGCGTCTGCACTATTTTTTTCGCGAGCCGCGGGTGAACCGAACTGCGTGAATTTGAAAAGACTGCTGAAAAAGAGCGGAGGAAATTGTCTGAGAATATTCCAGAATGTCTACCAGAATAAGGCCAATGTTACTTACTTACTGCCCTGCATGACTGAAGGGGAAACAGCGTGAGCTCTGCATAGAGCGTAATGCTGCGGCAGTATTTATTTTATTTTTTCAGGTTAACTTTTCAATACGAGGCCACGAGGCACACAATAAACTTAGGAAGCATGTTGAGGGGAAACATACTTTTGTCATTGCTTATTTTACCGTTCAACTTACCACTGACACAAAAAATATGCTTAAAACTGAAGACTTACCTCCTACTTCCTCATCACCGTCTCGTCTCTGCTTGACTCCGCTGCTCCGCTGCATGTGTGCTGTGATGGTGGCTCCACCCCCCGAGGAGTGGAGCCCACAACATGAGTTCATAAAGCTGGCGCCATCTGCTGGATAGGTAGCGCTATATCGGCCATATCGGCCGTCTTTTTGGCCGATAGCCGATAGAGTTAATGACCCCTATATCGGCCGATATATCGGTCGGGCCCTATTTAATATTCACATCCGGGTCAAGTGAGCAGAGGAAACTGGTCTTTCCATTGTTGGGAATTATTATGGGGTTGTATTTTCTGGGCTCCTGGGTCATTTTGAGCCCCAACAAAGTTTCATAAACTGTATAGAGGCTCAAAGAACAGGTTCCAGTTTTAAATGAAACCAGTTTTTCTGGGAATTCTTTAAATGCAACAACATTTTCCTGAGAAAACGAGCAGAATTTATTTGCATCCCCAGAATGCCCTCGCCTTTCGCCTGATGATTACTGGAGATTGGCACCAGCGCCTAGCTACCCTGCAGAGCACTAAGCAGTTAAGAAGAAAGTGTTGATGAATGACTGCTTCTGTTGGCAGAAATGGAGACCAAGTCTGACCTTTAAACTAGACGTGTCAGAGGTTGGGTCTGTAGAAAGAGGATTGTTCCCATCCAAAATATTTTACATTTTTATAAACTATTACAATTTAGTTCAGAACTAATCTGTTTCCTCAAACTCAGGCTGATCATAACTCCTCAGCAGAAACTCATTTTAAATGATGTAAACTATCTTCTAACGTGAACATTTCTTTAACGTAATCAGGAGTATGATAAAGTAAATGAGTAAAAATGATTTATTTTTTCTTACTTTAAAATGTTTTTTTCTGAGCAACGAATCTTCATAAAGCCTCAACATAACGCTAAGTGAATCACCTGTGAGCTACAGTGAGGATTTTAAAACACAGCCAGGAGCTCCGAAGGACAAATGTCGACACCCCAAGAGTTATTTTCAGTTAAGTCGCATGACTTTAACTTAAATCTTCACTTATTTCTTTAATCCAAAACAATCATAACTGAATTGTGTTGAACAGGAAACTTCAGATTCACTAATAACAGGTTCTTTATAATAAAATGTTTTAGAACAACCGCCTCATAGGATTTGTTTGTTTTGGCGTCTTCCCCTCCGCTGGCGGATGTAGTTTGTGGTGCAGTGTGCTTTCCTCTCAGATGACATCATCTCCGTGCTTGTGGTTGCTTTGTTTTGTAGCGAGAGTGCACCATGTTGGCGGGTGTCAAGGTGACTGCACATAGACCAGGTTCATGAATTTCTGCTCTGTAGCGAGTCGCCAGCTGGTGGAGGGGCTGTGGCGGTGGGGGTCATGCGTTTGAAGGGGGGGGGGGGGGGGGGGCGTGTTTTAGGGGAGGGGAGAAGGGGTATTGTCCTGCCTCCTTGCCCTCCGCTAGCATTTGAAGATCTCATTTGACAGCTTCAAGGTGGAACGTGGAAAGACCAAAACAAGGACCGTGCTCTCCCCCTTCTTAAATTCAGCCTCTTCCTCCCTCTGAGCCGGGGAAGGAGAACCAATCTGACTCATCACCCTGTGGTGGCTGGGTTTGGCTCTTTGTCGGTGCAGGAGGGGGGCTGCGTGCAGGCAGAGGGAATGCATATCATGACCACAATAGAGCAAACGAGCACGGTTCAGCCATGAAAGCCCAGCGGGAAAGACTGAGAATTCCAGGGCTGACGTTGGAGTGAGTATTTTCCTCTGTTATCCTGCTGGGGAGGCAGCTCCGCTGCAGCGTGTCGCTTCATCCGTCTGTGTCATGTGTGTTGCCGTCTATCACTGTTGCCTCACGCTCTGGGCTCTGTTAGCATTAGCAGCAGCAGCATCTGCAGCAGGAAGTCTAAGTCAAGACCTCCACACCTCAGCAACAGCATCTTGTTTGTGTGTGTCTGAGTCTGCATGTGTTTACACTTTAGGTGTGTGTGTGTGTGTGTGTGTGTGTGTGTGTGTGTGAGCTAGAGAAATAACACAAAGGAGTGGCTGGATTTTAAGTGAGTGACACAAACGACGCACATGTAAGAAAAGAGCACACACACCACGTAGGGAGTGTTGTGGCAGTTTCTGCCGGATGTGATCATAAAGGTGAGAGTCACAGAAAGACGTGTGTTTTCCATGCATGTCTGATCCCAAACGTTGGTTTTCATCACTAGTTACGTGTTCTATTTGGGTCAGCGAGACATTTGTCATGGTTCTTTGTGTTTGAGGATTAAAATTTCGTAACGGAGCCAATTGGGTCTATGAATGATGCTATTTCTATGCAGATTTAGGCCAAATACTTATGGTTTAAATAAGTAGCCTGATATTTCATATTTAAGTACCCTCTAATCCTAAAGCACTTGCTGATTTAGACTTTAGTCTTTTATTTTATGGAAGTAACACACCAGAGATCTTTCTTTCTTCTAAAATTTCCAACAGCTCTTTAATAATAAAACAATTGATGTTGCTTCTCTGTACCTGATTATGGATGCAGATGGCAAAATGAAAATAAGAGGGGTCATGAAAATTCTTAAAATCCTCTAATTTTCTATAGTTCACCCATGCAGGACTTGGGAGAGTAGCGTTTTTATGGTGATGCAGTATGAAGATCTGATGCTTATTAGTTTTGTCACCGAGACATCAGAGTAGCTGACGTCTAGCTTTAGCCATAACATACGAACCATTTAACATAAATGTTGATCAGTCATATTATTGTATTTTGAGACAATATTTTAGTTTTATTTAGAAGTATTTCCACAGCTCACTCATATTTAATGAATGGGTTTGAAAGCCGCTGCAGTAGAAGTAACTCACCTTTGCGTGACCTAACGCTCTGCAGAGCGACTGCTGGCCGTCTGACCGAAAACAGACTCAACACATGACATCATGTACCAGATCAACAGCCTGTTTACAGCCTTTAGTTAATCTGTGACTCCTTTTATGATTTTGAGCCTTTCAGCTGCTGCTCTTTTATTGCCTTGTTATTTGAATCTGGCACGCTTCACAGGCTCAATGTCAAACAAACGCTGCAGAACCAGACAAATGCCTCGAGAACCTGCTCCTCAAACACAATTGGATCCATCTGACGGGATCGTTTAGTCGTCATGATGCTGCTGTCTTCATCTGGACACGCGTCGGGGCTCTGAAGGGGGGTGGGGGGGCTTTTCTGTGTTTGACTCTAAACCAACTATTCACTTCACTCCATTTAACTTGCAGCCTCACCCCCCGAAGCTTGAGCCCCACTCCCACTAGCCCTTGCAGCCCGTGCAGCCCGCTGCACGCGTTTCATTTCTGGAGGTAAGCGAACGTTCTTCAGCCATGAGTGTTTTTATTCTAAATGGCTCAGCGGTGCACGTTTGAGCCATTCTTGTGTTCATACATTTCAATGTTAAAGCCAAGTCTGCAGTTTGCCCTCCAAAAAAATCATCTGCCACTAAGATGACACTAAAAGAGGACATGGAGCTTATGTAATGTGGATAATGCCACCCCCCTCCATCTTGCCCCAGTCTGTTTGGAGATTTTGCTCCTCTTTCATGTGCTAAGTAGGATTTGTGCTGTTTGCGATGCATCAAAGTGAGGAATGGTCTCAATCTGTCTGAATCCCAGCTTGATTCATGGAGGAATGACGAGCACTGGCGACGATAAAAGCTAGTTATGTTTCATAACTGAGCTTACTGCTTATATATCAGCTTGTGTTTGATTATTAGTTGTCCTCGTGTCTCAGATGAACTTTTTTATGCATTTGTGAGGAGCTGCAAACACGTTTGTCCAGTCGTCACGATGCTCGGTGTGCCGGCGTACTTCTGCAGATGAAAAACACCTGAACAGCTGGCCAGATTACTCATTTGCCTGAAGACTCATTAATTGATAATGAGGTTCATCATCTTACTCTTCTGAACCAAGCCTTTGCAGAGGATTTCAGTACAAAAGTCTGCATAAAAAAAGCTAAAAATATCCTTAAGTAGCTCATCAATCCAGCTTGTGATCCACAGGTACCAGTTCTTTTTACTAAACTCTTTTGAGTCTCCTTAATCAAATCAATCCAACTTTTGCTTAAAAATGTATTTAACCGAAAAACGTTTTGACTTATTTTCTAAATCTTTTCAGTCATAATGAGTTTATCATGTAGGCTAAACATGAAAATAGTCTTCTGCCCCTATTTCCTACATTAGCCGTCGATTGACAGACGGGGAAACACTCAGACATACAAAAGCCAGTGACATTTGCACATCATAGGGTCAAGTTAGCATTCATGGACGTGCTCATCTTGGCTCGCAACGGGGAAGGCTGTTGTTGATTTAGCATCCAGGAGAGAGCATCTGTAGTAGAAGCTAACCGTTAGCATTAGCGACTCCACCACACAGCAGAAGTCATTCAGGGTTGCGTCATTTGTGAAGAAAAAACATCAACGTTGCAGAGCAAACAGAGCCAGTGGTAGACTCGTGTTGCTGTTGTCCAATCAGAGGCGACGTGTCCAAATATGAAGAAATAGGACTCCAAAATCTGCCGTCTTCATTTCACTTCTCCTGACTCACTTCCTGTTCCTGAAACGGGAGCGCGAGAGCTTTCCCCCCCACAGAAATGAATCTCAGGGCATTCATTTGTATCATTCTATATTTTATTAATTTATTGAAAAAACAAGTAAATTTGGTCTTGAAAATTTTACTGTGAGCGCAGTAAATGATAAATGACCCTCTCTTATATAGTGCCTTTTAGAGTCAGAGGACTCCAACGTGCTTTACATGGCAGTGTGTCATTCATTCATTCGCACACACATTCACACATTGATGGTGATGGCCTACAATGTAGCCGCAGCTGCCCTGTGGTACACTGACACAGCCGAGACTGGTCCCTTCCACCACCACCAGAAAGCAAGGTGGGTTTAGTGTATTGCCCAAGGACACTACAGCAAAATTCTCTGGCGGGATTGATCCTACAACCCTCGGATTACTCGACAACCCGCTCTACCTACTAAGCTACTGCTGCCCACAAAGGGCTAACTGAGAGACACCTTGGGTTGAACTCGTCAAAATGTTTAATGGACCAAGGGGGAAACATGATTGGTTGATTTAAGCTTTATTTTAATGCAGCGATGTCTGCTGTAAAATTTACCGAGCCAACCAATCACAGAGGATATGTGATTCTACTGTTTCCCTAGCAACAGAGCTGGAAAAATTATGATTGGCTGCAGAAACGCTCTGCCTTAGATGACAACCTGATGCAGAAACAAAAGCAGAGTGGCCACTTCCACGCAACATTTTCTATACAGTTTGGATTTTTTAATAGTGGATTTGAATGTTTATTATATTTTAGGTCAAATTAGGCCCAGCACCACTGGTAGATACTGTGGTCAACATTTTTTTTTGCAATCCTTTACACATTTTCCCCAACCTCCTATGTCAGACTTATCTGACAAATCTCCTCTGCTAGCTCAATCTGCATTAGACATCTGCATGTTCTTACTGAACGGTACAGATGCAGAGGTCTGAAGTCTGTCTGAAGCACTAAAGTAGCAGGAATCGGCTGTGGTGTTTGTTTTTATTCTTTCTTTCGATCCATTCAGAACTGCAGAAGTTGAGAATGTGCGGTCTGAATGAAAAGCATGCGACGCCCACTAGGGATGTGAATCTTAGAGCAACTCACGATTTGATTCGATTCCGATTCTTGGGGTGCCGATTCGATTCAGAATCGATTCTCGATTTCCCAATTTAAATCGATTCACAATCAGTATTAACAAAGAGTGTCAGCTCCAGGATGAACTACTTTGTTGTTCAAGTTAGTTAAAGCTATGGGACATTTTTATTTGACTTTAAACTGGTCATGCTCCAAAAATGCAAATTTACAATGTAAAATAAAGTGATTCTAAAACTGTAAACAGAAACAATCTTTTGACCAAAAGGCAACATTTATTTTTGCTTACCTTGTAACATATAACAAATCTGTAGTTACCTAACAGTAGATTTGAAAGTAATACGGTCAAATACTTTTCAAGTATGTGTAGAAACAAGTTACACGAGTAATCCTGAGTACTCATTTATAAACTTAGAAAATAAATTTGAGAATATCTCAAATTTCTGAGTATGGAAAAAATTACATTCAAGTGTGCTCTCATCAGCAGATTCAAACATAAATCATCTCAATTTATGGGACCACAAAAGTAAACGAAGTACTGACTCTCCTAACAAAGATCAAAAAAGTGCATCTCAAACCTGTAACATGGATATTTGAGTTCTTGGAATCGATTCTGAACCTTTGTGAATCGATTCTGAATCGTTATAAATAAGAATATTCCGATTCAGACTTGAATCGATTTTTTTCAGCACCTCTAACGCCCTCCTCTCACCCTTGCTCTCCTCTTGTTCCACATAGAGTCGAGTGGAGCAGCCATTAAAATGAGTCAGCAGCACCCATGACGGTAGAGGTGTTTTTCCTTCATTAGGATTATTAAATATAATCTTCTGTCATGTGTACCAGTGCACACAGATGGGTTGAAGAGCCCTGTTCAGTCTGCAGGTTTTCTCATTGTTAGTCGCGCAGTGTAGGAACAAAGACAGCTGCTCTTTGCTTCACAGAAGAACAACTGTTAATGACGGAGTGACGTTCTATAAATAACTCCGTAACAAAGAGTCTAATTGGAGGTTTTGAACTCCGGTTCCTAAGCAGGTATTTTTAAGAACTGCTTTTAAAAGTTAAGTCGGTATAATTATCGTAACGGCCCTAAATAGCTGCAAATATAAAGTGGCACCAACACTGCTCATTTCATTTACCATCCATTCTGCTTTTCCAGCAGCTCTTCCAACTTTACAAATATAATTTCCCACCGAGTCACAACCAATCAGCATGAGTTAACCACGAGTCCTACCCAGCAACTCTACCGAGTCTTTTCTAGGTAGGAGTTTGGTTCCTGAAATTACCCAGAATGGTCCTGATGGGCCCGCTTCAATGGAGACATTGCGTATTCGACGAAGGTCTGACTCGGAAACACGCCTTATGACCAGACAAGGAAAAGAAGTCACCATAAAATATTTTTCCACTTTTTAAGAAAGCTAAAAATCCTATTTTTGTGGCCAGGGAGGACTTGGAACGTGAGGATTTTGGCCCTGACCTTGAAAAGTTGGGACACCCCTGACACAAGGACTTACTAACGAGATGATTGTCCCCACCTTCACCCAGATCAGGTCATGTGACACCTGACCTGAGTACAGCTCCGTTACAGCGGCTCTGATGAACATCAGTTTGGTGAAGATCTGGTCCTTGAAGTGGATCCAGTCTCACACACCTGATGGTGACCAAAGTAAGAGCCTGAACAGTGAGAGACAAGTGGACTCAACAACGACACAGAAACGACATCTGTCTGTTATCTGTAGGCAAACGTGCTCATATATCACTTTTAATGAGCAGTTGGTACAGAATCCAGCTTAGGCACAAAAGGTTGAGTACCTTTTTGTTGCAGGAATATTTGGATATATTTACAGTTCCGGAGGTGCTAGAGTCAGCTGTACTCTGCAGATTTTTCTTAATAAACCCTCACAGCTGTGGAGCATCATCTGAGTCTGCCCTGGCTCTGTTGATGTTCTGCACTTGCTAGTGTCATGGTCTCATTATCGCTGAAAGTTGGAGGTGTAGCAATTGGTAAAAAAGCTGAATCCCAGAGTAAAAGAGAAAAAAGGAAACTGTAAGCCAGCACAAATAAATCCTACCACTGGATGTTGAACACTCGCCCAGGAAAAAACAAACAACACATTTATCAACTATTAGTATGTAAACAGTTGTTAGTTTGCACGCATTTCCCCTGCACTCCTTTCATGCTGCCTTCTGCAGGTTTGACTTTGAACCGTCGTAGCTGTCGCTCCTTATGTGGAGCACAGAAACGGGACAGAGCCATAATTAGAGTGAAGGCTGTCACATCAGCCTGCAGGGAGACAGGCAGAGCCTCTCTGAGAGGACGCAAACTCAGGCTTTCCACTGCCAAAAATGACCTCTGATGGCACTTTAGTGCAGAAGAGGCACATGGAAGTGGAGCCAGTGGTTATGTGCCAGGTATACTGGTGCTTTTCCTTTGTTCATTTTGGTTTCTGTCTCTTTTTCTCGAGCTTGTGAAGTTCTTCCAGGCAAGTGATTAGTTATCTGCAGCATCCTGAGGGTCTTCAGGGCTTTCTATACTCACATCCTAAGTAAAGCTCTCAATGTTTGAGCCACCTCCACCAAATTCTTCAAAACTGGTTAAACAGAAGAAGCGTATGAAAATCTACATGCTAGCACCTAACTTTGGAAGATTATTAAGGTCTCCATCCATCCATCCATCCATCCATTTTTCATACTGGCATTGTCCTTTTTCTGGTGAGGCTACAAACCAGATCTAACCAGATCTGAGCTGTAGTTAGTGGCTTAAAGTTTGCTTTGTCAGCAGATCTGTGGTTGCAGAGCAAAGACAAATATTTGTATTTAATAAGGTTGGCTAGTTCTTTTTCTGCCTAAAAATGTTTTTTGCTCAATTTTCAAATAAACAATTTTATCCTTTTACATTTTGTTTCAGTTTTAAATTGAAAAGCAAAACAGAAGCAAAAACAGAGAAGGTATTTTTCCGTGAACGTGAGTCCGCTCGGTGTCGTTAAGCAGCTGATAGTAACCGGGCTGACTCCGACACGTGCCGGTGAACCAACCCACCTTCATGTCGCTAGTGTTCCACCGGGTGGTGACGTTAGCCCCAGGCTCCGGTTAGCTTCCAGCTAAAAGGCTACAGCACTCTCCTCCCAGTCCCACCCTGCTAAAGAGGGCCTGGAAAAGTTCCCCCACACATCAAAGTGATTTTTCATTTAAGAGCTTTTATAACCTTGTTAGTCAGGATAGTTGATTTGCTGCTGCACATAAACTGTCAGTCAGAAGCTCTGCTAGCTGGTTATCTTAAGAGGAGCTAGTTCAATTTGTTAGCTTGTTATCAGAATCATAGTTGCAGTTTCATCATCTGAGCTGCTTTTTAAGATCTAGGTAAACTTGTTCAATTTGGGGTTAAAAACAAATGTTTTCACATATTTTCCATGTAGTTTTTTTGCCAATTCCTCTTCTGAAAGGTAGACAATTGTTTTTCTCTTTCCCTCAGAAAATCTTAATATTCTCCTAGTTTGGCCCAGCACAGTTCACTTCCCAGTTACAGCAACAGCCTTATATCATAACCACATAAGTGGAGAAAATGTTCAGTAGCAATGAGAGAATTTGCTGTTGCATTTAAGTGATGTTAACTATTATTTAACATTTAAACTTATTTTCTGATTTTTTTTATTCAAAAACCCTGGTAAGGGATGTTTTTCTGTATTTGGAGCATCAGAAAAAGTTTTATGGTGGAGGTGATGTTTTAAAGTCACTGAGAAACTGCATGCATGCAGTTTGTTGTTTTGCTGCTAATACAGTAGTAGGTGCAGCTGCATATTTTTGCAATAAAAATGTTATGTTGTAATGGAATTCATGCATTAGTTTTTGTTTGCTTTGAACCCAGAGCAGACGTCACACGCCAGACAACATTGACACTGCATACTTTAGTATTTGTTCATTTATCGTGAGTAATATCGATATCGCAATATTAAGCACTGTTATCGAATATCGCAGGTTTTCCTAATATCGTGCAGTCCTACTCCAAATCTTGCCATTTGAAGCTCTCCTCTGCTGTAGCTCGTTTCTACTTCCTTAAACGTGTGCACCATGTCTTTTTTTTACCCAGAGTACGACTTACAAGGCATTCATTCCTAATAGAGACCTCTGCAAACATAATGATTTAGCAGGTGTTTCACATCTGTGAAATGAGAGATGATATTTACTTGACTAAATTATCAGAAGAATCTCCATCCATCCATTTTTTTCCGCTTATCCGGAGTCGGGTCGCGGGGGCAGCAGCCTAAGTTGAGAGGCCCAGACTTCCCTCTCCCCAGCTGCTTGGGCCAGCTCCTCCGAGGGAATCTCAAGACGTTCCCTGGTCAGGTGAGAGAGGCCCAGCCACTCGGCAGAGAAAATTCGTTTTGGCCGCTTGTATCCACGATCAGAAGAATTGTAATTTTATCAAAACTGTGGTGACCGTAATGTCGCTCTCTGGACATTAAAGAAATCTCGGTAATCTTATTGAAGCTCTGAGGCCTTTGCAGGATTAAATAATAGTCCTTCACAAGTATGATCAATGCTTTGGTTCACAACTTATCTGTGAAAAACTTGTAAATGTTTATTTGTTTAAAGAAAGGTTTTTATTTAGTGAATTTTTTGCTACAAAGGTCACTTTAGGATTTCCCCCCCCTCCGTCTGTTGTGATCAGCTGACCTTAGTCACTCACAAACACCTGAAAGCCAAGTTCACCTCTGAACCCACTAAGCTGATTCATTAGTCATGAGTGCTGCTCCTAAACTTAGTTTTCTTTTAGTTTAGTGAAGGTTTGTTTGGCCTTAAACAGAAAACTCTAATCAGTCTTGTTTAGTTTCAGCCGTTTAGGAAGTCGAACAGAAAGGGGTTGAAAGGCGTGGCTCTCCTCATATCAACTATCAAAGTAACAAACATTTTCCTTTTGAACTCCGGCTGTAAGCGCCGACCCGCTGGACTTTGAGCGAAGCTTTCGCGAAAACGTTTCTCTGCATCTTATGTTGAAGATGCAGGACTGCTCCCCCCTTCACAGGATGTGAAGTGGTATGTGCCTGTTACATGATACCGAGCATGTCGAGCAAACGGAGCCGGGTGAGTGTTTGGGACACACAGCAGAGTCGCAGTGAGACGGGACGAGTCAGCTGGTGTTGGGTGTCGTGTCCCAGCTGCAGTGGAGGCTGTCAACACCTGACCTGGATCACACGGCGTGCGCCTTTCAGGGCTCTCCTTGGATCATTATTTATTTATTTTGCTTGTTTGAGGACGGAGGAGGACAACGTGCCCTCCCTGCCTGTGCGTTTATGCCGCAGCTGGCTGCAGATGTGCCTGTTCAGAGGAAGTTTGGACCTCAGGACAGCACTTGTCAGGACTTCTCCAGGGGTCGCAGCCTGCTGAACCCTGACTGCCGTCGCTTCTCATCGGGTCCTCAGAAACTCCCGTTGCATCTCCCTCTCTGGCATGAGGAGGACACGATGTCAGATTCTAATCCTTGGACCGTTTTATCCAACTTAAATATGCCACAGTTCTTCAGCGGAGCCCGTCTGCGCCGGTCTAAAAGGTATTGTCGTTTTCCAAGACTGCTTATTGTTTTGTGGAGATGGCTGCATCATAAAGTTTAGTTGACAAAGTGGCTTTTTCCAACTAAATAAATAATTAGAAGGCTCTGAACTCCATGGTGAGGTACTGTGTCTAGGTCATTGAGCATGATAAAAACCAGAAGATGGGCATTCTTCTTTACGGTTTGCTTTACTGTTATTTGCTTGCTGATTGTTGTTCAGGTGCTCGTGGTTCTCATACAGGATGTGTACTTTGCACTGTTGCCACTCTGGGTAAACAGTGGGAATGTAGAAATGCATTTGTTAATCTGATTTTATTTGCTTCAGTTTATGTTCGCTTCCGTAAAACGTGTGTTTTGGTTTCAAATGTTAGGAATCCCTTCACTGCCCTGTCATTTAGGCATCAACATCATTCGTGTTTCATGAAAGGGAAGACTCTGCTTTACAGCTAAGCCACTTGATCTTGTTGAATCATATATGATGGAGGCTGCAGTGTTGGTCAAAGTCTCTGTAATGATATTTGTTTTTAATCCCCATCCTGACCTATTTTCACAGTGGGGAACATCCTCACATAAAATATTGTCCATTTATGAAGTTTTTTTTTAATGTGTTTCTGAGCTTAAAAACTAGAATATATTTCGACAGTTTGAAAAAACTTTACCTGTATATTTAAAAGAAATATTTGGCGAGTATTTGTGGAAAGTCGACCAACCAGAGTCTTTAAAAAGTCATGTAATGCTGTAAATCTCCACATGTAGAATCTAAACGCTACAGACATGAGCTGATGTGCTTTTACGCCAGAGCTGCAACTTTTAACAGGGCATTGTGTCACGTTTGACTTTGAATTTGAGTCTGTCAGCCCACCGCAGCAATTTCCGTGTCGATGCGCGTTGTCAGCTCACCTGACAGCTGTGACGCCACGGTGCAACTCGCACGAGTAAAAAAGATTAATCGTGGCATCTCGTTGACGTGGGTCAGGATCAGGATGTGGGACTATCTGGATTCAAAGTGGTGGGAATCAAAAGGGTTTCATCTATTTTTGCTTCTCTTTGCAGCTTAAAATAGAAGTCAGAGATGCTGAAGAAATGGTTTCTGACAGATTGAGATTTCATTGTAAATGTGGGTCACTTTGAACAGTAAAAATAAAATCATCTCTTCTGTGCAAAGTGTCTTAAAACACCTTGATGATATTTTTAGTAACTGAAGTAAGTTTGTTTGAAATAAAATGATGATTTCAAGCGTTAAGGGACACTGTCCTACTTTGTCTCCATCATCTACACCTTGGACTTCTTGTTTGCTGTTCCTACATCTTGCGGCATCCTCTATTGAATCTCAGGCAACCATTGTGTGATCCCGTCCTGTTGTGGTCCTCATAATAAAGTAACTTAAAGTAGTGAGTTCACAGCGTCCATGAGTCTCTCAGCTGTGCAGCAGTGTGAGCAAAGGTGAGAGGGTGCAGCAACAAGAGGCTTGATTAGACGGCGGCGTGGCATTAATCCACATTGAGAGCACATAAATAGATCTCATTAAATCTGATCCTCTTTCACTGAGAACACGTGTACCAGATCCGATTGGCTCCCGCGTATTATTATAAATGATTCATGTCGTGTGTCCACTCTTAATGATTGCTGAGGTTAGGAACCACTTGAGTAAAATGACCACGATGGGGATGTTAGTCTGAAGAGGGGTTCCCCTGATTGAGGAAGGTACTTTAGATTTTTTGCACAACAATGGGGAAGTTTATGGGACACTAAATAAATCTCTCTAAAAAATTAGAATCAAAGCTCCTTGCATGAGACTTTAAATTTCAACTGTCAAAATGAAGCATCTTCTGATGGTAATGGTGAGATGTTAGTTCAGGTTTGACTTAAGCCTGGTTAAAATTCATTCCATCCGTCCATCCGAGCAGGTCGTGGGGCAGCAGTCTAATCAGAGAGGCCCAGACTTTCCTCTCCCCAATCACTTGGGCCAGCTCCTCCAGGGGAATCCCAAGGTGTTCCCTGGCCAGCCGTCAGACATACAGTGTTTCTTAAAGTCAAGGCACCTGGCCTTGCAAGGCGATGTCTAGCTTACGAGGGCACAGTGTTTCCTTGGTCAAAGAAAATGGTTAAATGGAACAGACTTGCATCACGTGACCGCGGCTGTCATGTCAGTTGAGACATGAGGTAACGTTATATTTTATACGTATTAAGTAGGGCTGGGCGATATGGCCTAAAATCAATATCACAATACATTGAGTATTGCACCTTGATAACGATAAATGGACGATAACTGCAGGTATGCGAAGAAACAAAAGTTGTCCACTAGAAGGGGCTGTCACATGTATTACGTTGAGTCACATTTTTACGTGACTAGGTCGGGGTGGGGAACCCTGGTCCATTGAGGGTCGTTATCCCGCGTATTTTAGTTTCAACCCTGCATCATCACACCTGATTTTAATCAGCAGGTGATTAACAAGCTTCTGCAGAGCTTGATGAGCTGCAGAACAGGGGAATCAACCACTGAATCAGAAGTGTTGGAGCAAAGATATGCAGGATACCGGACCTCGAGTACCAGGTTTCCTCACTCCTGCTCTAGGTGGTACAGCTTCTTAAAGGGACAGGAACGTTGCCAACCTACACACACCTTTTCATTTTTTTATTATCAAATTTATTGACATGGAAAAAATTCTCGATAAAGAGTCAGATATTTTGATAACGATACATTTTTGATTTATTGCCCAGCCCTACGTATAAGTTTAAATATAAATGTATGGCAAACCTTTTACTTTTTTACTGTATTGATATTGGTTAAATTAATTATGTTAACAAGTTGATACCTGCTAGCCACCAAAGCTGCAACTACTAAGCAACTAACCAACCATAGCTAACTGCTTTGGGTTAAAAAAAAGACATTTTAGACATCATCCCAATAGCTACAATGAGTTGACTTACTGGAAATTTGCCCAGCACATCAAGGCAAGGTTCCTTGACATTGGGAAACACCCAAAGTCCCTCCGGCGTGTCCCGGGTGTTCCTGTGGGTCTCCTCCCAGTTGGATGTGCCCGGAAATCCTCACCAGGGAGTCTGTCAGGAGGCATCATAACTAGATTCCCGAGCCACTTCAACTGACTCCTTTCAAATGATTTTCAAAACAATGGAGACCACACATGTGGAGATAATAAATAAATGTGGATATACCAGTTATGGTGCACATCAAAAAATACACACTACACATAAACAGATTTCAAACACGAACATTCCCCAGTCAGATGGGAAATCTCATAAAACCTCTCGATCAAGTAGGACTTTGGAGTGAACAAACATGGCGGAGGAGGAGTGTGCAGTGCATCTCTGTTGCCTCGTTTTCTGATTGGCAGCACGTCACATTCAACCGGCAGACCAAGACAATCCAACATTTTTAATATCCTTGATTTCTGATCAGAGCTGACATGCTTTAAAACAGACCAGAGCACTCTTAACATACCACATATGGCAGGAATATCTGATAAGATTATCTTTAGAGCCATCACAGTAATCAGGCATGTCCTTAATGTCAATGGAATGGGAGAATTGGGTCAGAAATCAATATTAAAGATTTTTCTTTGTTCCTTCAGTCATCTGATATACACGCAACCATAGAGTTTTTCTTAAAGGCAACTTGATTTCTAATTTCTGCAGAAGGTTGGAATTCTGATTCGTCAGGAGCTTGGAAAGCTTCTTGAATGAGAATTGAAGCCTTCTCAGACTAAATTAAATCAGTCACCTTTCATTGAATGTATCTTGGATTATTTGTGTTTGAAACACAAACCTCTCCAAATTATATTTTTAAATCTTAACTGAAATAAAGCGTTAAGTCCACAGATGACTTGTCTGAGGGTGTTAATGAGACCTGTAAAAGCTAACAAACACACATTGCTTCTTCATTTAGAAAGTGCTGCTCAGAGCTTGTAACGTGAATGTGCGGTTCTCTTTTTCGTGCAAACCAGTGGTGACCTAAGCATGTTCATCCGTTAGTGCGGATTTACAGATTTATGTTTTTCTGCATTTTCTCATCATGAATACTGCCAAGAAATACTCTAATCCTCCCGTAATATTTGCTAAGGGTGTTAACAGTGGGGGGATAAACTGAACAACTGGACTTGGTGGGGGAAAAGGATCTCTCAGACAGATGTTGGCTCCTACGTGCCATAAATGAAATCTGAATAAACATATCGTCTTCCGGAACAGATCCTACATTAAACAAGCGGGAAGGTTTAGCCATACCATTGTAAAACCCAGAAACAAATGACACTATTTAATATATTAAGTTTTCCATTACTAACCAAGAAAATTGATCCGGATATTAGTTTGCACGAGTCTATAGTATGTAAAACATGAGACAACTTTTATGGATTTGGTCACCAAATTGCATAAAAATCGATGGACAATACTACCAGGGAGACACTCACCCCTACTGCACACTGGAAGCAAAAGTGGAGTGGAACGGCGCCGCAATGGAACCGCTTCAAATAGAATCCATTATAGTCCACGGAGTGTAACAAATCAGCCGCAATGCGTCAAGTTTCTGAAGCGGTGCATCGCACCGCTAAAGTTAGGGTCAGGTTATAGTTTTTTCCACGAGCCACTAGCTTTGATGCATCAATTACCGCGAATGACATAGGGCTAGGCAGGAAATCAAAATTTTTATTTTCAAAATAAAAGTATTGCAGTGAGGGAGTTTCATATATGTGAAGCTTACGTGTGACCTAACTGCTTATTTACTTACAGTATCGTTCCAGAAGTGCAGCGGTGTGCTTTCATGACTTTAATCCTGGCAGTGGAGAAGAACATCAAATATGACATCAAACAGCAATATCAAATGTGATTTACTTCTTTTTGGTTTAATGGCGGATAGCGTAAACAAGCCGTCATCTCTGAAGTCTCGAGGGATCATAAGATCTCACAAGTCGAGCGAGGAGCATGGCAGAGAAGCCGCTTTGCTGCTGAGACTCTCCCGGTGTGTACTTCAGTGCAGTAGTTGTTACGAGTAAACCGTGCCGCTTTTGCTTTTAGTGTGCAGTACGCGTCATATTAGAAAAGCCACTCATATCTGTGTTACACTGCAAAACGACATTCATGGACTCATCCATCTAGGTTCGTGACAGGGAAGGCTATTGTTGATTTAGCGTCAAGGGAACAGGAGAGCATGTCTCAACTAGTAGAAGCTAACCGTTAGTATTAGCAGCTCCACAACATGGCGGACTCCTTCAGGCCTGTGTTATAGAGATAAAACATCAATGCTACAGAGCAGAGTCAGTGGTAGAGTTGTGTTCAGTTCAGTTCCAAAATACTTTATTAATTCCAGGGGGAAATTGGTTTGCTGTTATCCAATCAGAGGTCAGAGGTCTGAATACCAGGAAGTAAGACTCTTTTGCACACCTCTCTTCTGGCTCACTTCTAGTTCCTGAAACAGGAGCGCAAGAGCGGTTTTCCCCACAGAGACTGACTCACAAGGCATTCGTTTAGAGCAGGCGTGGGGAACCCCGAGGGCCGGTATCCCACATGTCTTTGCTCGGACCCTTCTGATTCAGTGGTTGACTCATCTGTTCAGCAGCTCATCGGGCTCTGCAGAAGCCTGTTAATCACCTGCTGATTGAAATCAGGTGTGTTGAAACAGGGTTGAAACTAGGGCTGAAACGATTCCTCGAGTACAAAAAATCCTCGAGTCAAATTCTCTGCCTCGAGGCTTCGTTTAATTCATGTTTAATTAATTCATGGCTTTGCAATCACCCGTGGTCATGTTTCACCCGGACCGAAATAAGTGACACACATACACACTGCACTGAATATACACGCGAGTAGCGAATGTGACTTAACTTTCTCTTAAGCCATGGCGGACAATGTGGACCCCGGTGGAGTGCGAAAAAGACACAAAATGTCAAAGGTGTGGGACCATTTTTCACATCGTAAGGCAGAAAACGTAGTCCAGTGTAAATACTGTAAAATGGATTTAGCCTACCACACCACATCCTCCGTGCTGCAACCCGACCAGGAAACATCCACATGTAAATGTCACTTCTGCAAGCGGACTCTACAAGATAATGCATTTTAGCCTGTATTTCTATATATTCTGCGGACACTGTGCGACTTTTTCATTTGTAGCACTCAGTTTCAGCTCACACCGTACATCTGGTAGCAACACGTCGGTCTTAAAATGTGCTAAAAATAGTTTTTACAACACGTCGGACTTTTTACTGTGTGGATGTTGATGTCCGTTGTCCCTCGGGATTGCTGCAGGAGGACAGGTATTTATGAGAGTGACGGAGGAAAATGAAAGAAAGTAAATGTTGTGTGATCAGTATAATTAGACATAACCACGGCAAACATGCTTTCTCGACAATCCTTGTTAATGTGAGAAAAAAGTGTAGAAATTAAAACGAACGTGGGTTAATAGGGAAATGCTGGCGAGCCATGTTTGCGCATGCGCCATGAGCGGTTCTGGTGCTGTTTGGGCCGCAGCCGCTCGCATTTGTTTACTGTGAAGTAAAGTTGAAGTGCTGAAGTTTTGAAAACTAATTTTGAATAAAACTTGAAGAATAACTGGCAATTGCTTTCTCGTGTCAAGAGGTCTTTCATATTTTATAAAATGCTATTTGATATAATGGTTTACAAACACAAAATGGTTATTTATTAGAGTACTCGATTAATCAATAAAATATTCGATAGAGTACTCGATTACAAAAATATTTGATAGCTGCAGCCCTAGTTGAAACTAAAATATGCTGGATAGTGGCCTTTGATGGACCAGGGTTCCCCACCCCTGGTTTAGAGACTGTTGCAAATGTGTTGAAAAAAAACGAGTGAACTTGGTTTTTAAACTGTTGGTCATTACATCACATGCTCTGTATCACCATGTTAAAAATATTCATGCTCTGTAGGGATGTTCAATATCAACGCTTTTTTCACCAATATCTGAAATACCAATATAGACTTGCTCATAAATTTGGATGCTAAAATATATGTGGGGTCATGAACAACTTTCCCAAATAAATAATCACACACCTCCTTTCATGCATACTTACACTTTAAACATTATCTGTGCAAAACGTGACAACTACTTCAGTGTAGTTTGGTCAGTGGAACAAAGTACCATACTTATTTTCTCTCCAGCAGCAGCTGTGTCGCGTTCTTCCTGAGATAATCCAGACAAACCCCACTACAAAGGGCACATTTCTACTTCTACACGAGTTGTGCCAAGCAAACAAAAGTATCAGACATCCCTAATGCTCACTAATTCAGTGCAATTCAAAAAAGAAAAGTTTGTATTATTCACAATTTTCTTTGCTTTTTAACAAGTCACAGCCCTGGGAAACATAATTAGCATCAGCATGGAAATGTTAGTTTTATTAAGACCATTTCCATCAGTGTGCTAAATCACAGACCGAGTCTTTTGAATGCAGACTATTTAAAACATCAGAACGGTGATTGTGAAGCTCATGTGTGACGTTGATGCTCTGAGGGCTCTGCAGTGGTACCTGCAGCAGCTGCTCTGCAGCAGCATCAAGACACATGAAGACAGCTTCTCAGTGGTCGACGGTGTGAATTTGATTGTAGTGTTTGATCACTGCTGCAGCACACAGATGTGGGAGCTGTACCTGTGACTGACTGGCACTCTTCCCTTCTGTATTGTTTCCCTCAGTAAAATATTCTCTTGTTTCCATCATCCTTCAGCCAGGCACCTTTGAGTTTCCACTTATCACGTACAGATTAAAACAAATAACCCTAAACACCTAGAAACAAAAGGTTGTTTTTTTTTTGCAGAATATTTTAGAGAAAGTCACGTGGGAAATGAGTTTGTCTCTGAGGAGTTTACGTAACGGCATGTCATTGATTTGAGCCCATGACCTTGAATCCATGTTCCACCTCTGGAGGCTTCCATTATCAAATTATAAACTGGATGCTGAGCTGCTTCGGCTTAGAAATATTCAATTTTTTCAAAAATCTCTCAAGGTTAAAAGCAGTTTTTATTTCATGAGTCACGCGTTGTTGATCACTGTGACTCCTCGTGAATCACAGTCCTGCAGTATAACAGCAGTTAATATGACAGCATGAATGCTCCGCACAGAACCTGCTTCTTTTGGTGACTAAACCAAAATGTTATGTCATTTGTTTTTGTGGCACGGTTGGCGCCGGTACTTGCTCAGGGGCTGGAGTCTGCCTGTGTAGCGGTTTGAGTCTGTCATCAGAAGGATTCGTTTTGGCTCTGGAACCACATGGCTGGTCATTCTCTTCGTATTAGTGAGGCGGAGAAAAAGGTGGTTATTTAAAGGAAAAGCTCTCCGTATCTAGTATTTGTTCTGCATTTATAATTAGTGACACTCAGTCGCATTAGTGAGCTTCTGATTCGCATTTTCTACAAAGATCTTAATGAGGAACAGAATGAATTATGCATATAAATATAAATATTTTTGATTTTATCCATTTTAATTCGGTTTTATTCTCATTAATTATTATTCTCATAAAAAACATTGATTATTTGAAATGGCTTCTGTGAATCTTAGAGATCAGGTCACTGGGTAGAGCTGCGTTAGTCGCCTTTTCTCAGTCTAGTTAATAACCATGGTTTGAAACGTTTTTATAGGCATCAGTGTCTATAAATCATAGTTTTAATGAACATTCACATTTGTGTTGGTACGTCCAAGATAAACGGAGTGTTTACAAGCCTCTGTTGTGTAAAAGGATCTCTGTGATCCGTGTAGATAAACCGTCTGCCCGCTCTGAAAACTCACGTGCGTGTGTGTAGCGTTAAACCTCCAGAGACGTAAGAGGACAGCAGCTTCTTGTACTATCATTTTTTATTCTCTTCATCTTTAACCTGTTTTTATTATTTAGAGATGTTTGACTTTGATTTCTAATGTTTAAACGTTGTCAGCGTTGTTTTGTAAGACTTTTTTGTCACTGTGACATCAGACTAATCTGAAACAGCTGGAATATAAAAAGTAAATGAGATTAGAGCAAATAAAACTTTATGTTGGCAGATACTTGATCTTTAAAGTCTCTGACTGGCACCGTGGACGGATGAGTCCTAACAAGGACGTCCCTAATTTCATCATAACCCAACCAGAATGTAAAAACCT